TTTGTTTATTATTATTATTAATTATATTTGACAAAATTAATTATCACATAATTAAAATGTCCAAATATATATATTTGTTTGTGTATCTAATCATATTGTCACACAATATAATATACACAATATATATAATGCAACTTTACTCCACTTACATATTCTACACTTTCTTATGTTCTATGTGTGTGACCCTACTCTAGGCATTTATAAAATTGGCCATAGTATCGATTAAATACTACAAGTGATAAGCGGTATCTAGCAACACATGATCACCCCCAAATTATAGATTAAAGCTCTTGGAACAATTCGTTCAACGACACATCCTATTTGTATATCTCTTATCCCTTTATTACTAATATCTTGATTTAACACAAGGTATAGGGTGTGTAACATTGTTAAAGTTAAATCGATGGTTTATTGATTCTTCGATTGACTTGTGGGATTCAAATAACGTATTTATTTGGGCATGGCCATGCACTTCACAAGTCACATCAATCAGTGGGCCCTAAGATATTATACTTCATCAAAGAAGGGATAAATTCTATCTACGTCATTCACATCTTTGCTTAAGTTTCATTGCATACCCAAAACATAATTGTACATCCACCAATATTTCAGATGGCATAAATCATGCCTCAAAGTATACAACTCAACTTACCAAAGAATGTAATGAATTCAAGTCGAAGGATAGTTATACTAATGGTCGCATGAGAATAATATTAACACTTTAACTTAAACCCATATATTATTCTCATAGCGGGTTAATCCAGCAATATATCCAATATGTTTGCCTACGTATAGATTCAGATAACACTTTATCTATAGCCTATGAGACGCAGCTATCTCATCTCATACGTATTAGTCTTGATATATTATGAAGTCCGTATTGTCATAAAATTCGACTAAGGATATTTTAGACATAGTCTCTATCTTTGTAACAGCCTCATAATCAGAACGACGTAGTTCGCATCTGTGTTACTAGAGCGCCTACTCTATGGAGTAAAGCTATGTTTAAATCACACGAGACGACTTAAACAATCTTTAGAGCCCATTGTTCTTGATATAATATAGATATGGAATCATAAGTTGGCCTCTAGAGCTCACTTATATTCAACACAGCCGCCACCGAGAGGCTTGCCAGATGTCGCCGTCGGCCACCATTCCCATCTCGCATCCTCTCTCTCTCTCCCGTTGCTATTCCGTCTGGCACTGCACATCGACCAGAGACACCGACTTGGGAGCTGACGACGTCAACCACTGTGGCCTGGGGAACCACCATCGTCGCCCCTCTCTTCCCCTCCAATTTGCGATTCGCACGCATCATTTCCGGCGAAGAGCAGCGGTGATTTGTGGTTTGAATCCAAGGTTTTCGATTTCTTCAATTTTCGAGGTGATTTGTGGTTTCTATACCTTCCGTTAGCATTAATTGGAAGATTAGAACTTCCTTGGCGTATAATCTTGCGATTTGATTGGGAATTTTTGATTGTTGTGTTGAAATTATGGAATTGGTGTTTGGGGGGCTGTTTTCCGTCATCGCCTCTGGCGACCGTCGTCAACAGCAGCGGTGAGGTGGCTGGAACTGGGCAGCCTTTTGATTTGGACCAATTGGATCCAATTGGCACCAATTGGGTCCAATTGGGTGCAATTGGGTTCAATTAGGTCCTAACCGGTTCAATTGGGTTATTTGGATTTAATTGGATACATATGGGTTGGATTTGACCGTTTGGGGCTAATTGATGGCTGTTCGTGTGGCTACCAATCACCCAATAGGGCAGTTTGGTCGGGCTTCGGGTTTGGGCAGCCGGGGCGGCTACCGGCGGGGTGCCGTTGGTTGTTCTGGCGACGATGGGGACTGCTCCGGCTAGTGCAACGGGCTTGAGGATCGATTCCTTGGGCTCGATTCCGCACAGGTAAGTTGGATTAATTCTAATTTAGGTTTGTTGATTATACATGACGGTAATCGTGGGTCTTTGGACCGGATAGGCCGCTACGTGATTTGTTGTGAATTTGTGAACCATTGTTAAATTAAATTAATCTTATTGGTGAATATTGTGGATTATGAATAATGTATGAGAAATAGTCCACCTAGTATAATTAGGCGGACCTGAATTGGATTGACTGATTGAATCACCAATAGGATATGGTTAGGAAATTGGCCATTGCGGGGTGTCGTCGCACCCCTGGTGGTCTTGGGATTAAAACGTACGTACGAAGTCCGCGACCTGTCCTGGCATCGTAGGGACAGAGGCTTCAAGCTGGCCTTTTTAAAGCATCGCATGTGGTGCCATGACTCAAAGTAGTTGATGTGGAATAAAATAAGGACATGATGTTCAAATGGAAGGTGTTAATATAAATATGTTTATTTAAGCTATTTTTCTCCGTGATCACATGATGTGGTTGATTGTATGTTAATGTGGTGCTATTCTGTGAGTTAATGCTGGCTTAGGTATATTTTCACTCAGCGTTTTGCTGAGCATGTAGTCGTTGCTGTTTGACTACACGCAGGTAAGAACACAGATTTGGATGTGCAACCCAGAGGGCAGTGAAGTGGTGGTGGGGTGTGGATGGCTCTTGTTTACTTAAATAGTTAAACTACATTATTTTATTTGATTATATGGACTATTGGACATTACTTTAGTTTTCTTATGCTTCCGCGACGTTTGGATTTATTTAATTATTCTGATGAATTTTGGTGTAGTTAAAACTCTGCGGACGAATTTTGTAATTCATTTAATTGTTATTTTAGAAAAGAAAATTTATGCATGCAAATATCAACTTAGTGACAACCCGGTTCGCTAACCCGTTAGTTCGGGTTACGCGGGTTGGGGTGTTACATTAACTCAAACAATTTAAATACATATCAGGATTTATACAAACAATGCGGAAGCTTTATAATTTAATCAAACATTCTTAATTCGCTGCATCCGTACATCTCCTCCGTCATGTTGTCCTCCAGGATATATTCCAATGTCAGCCCGTCCATGAGGTTTACTGTCTTGTTTTTTGTTTTGGTATTCACAGCTGGTTTTTAGGTTTGAGTTTTGGGTTTGGTTTTGAGTATTCCCCTCTAGCTAATAAGGACTTGGTTTTTGTTTCGGGTTTCGAACAATATTCTGTCAAACTTTAACTTCATGTCCGTTTACATTACTAATTATATCTAATTTATGACAGTGTGGTTCAAAGTACAATACAATTCTATGTTAAAAATTTAAATACGTTATTATAATATTATAACAAATTCTATTTTTGAATTTCTTACTGCCCTTCCATCAACTTCAAAGCAAAATTTGGTTCATGCAAGGGAGTGTGCTCATTTTCTTCAACCATAAGAATGGAAACTCCTTGGTCATTGACCAATTTAATCAAGACAAGTATCCTTACTTTTATTTTCTTATACATTTGTGCTTTATTTAGAACACTAGATTATACTCAAACTTCCTTCTTATTTATAATACTATGTCTTGTTTTCCATGACTTGCCTCGAGAACTATTATATTTTGTAATCTAATATAACAACTTCTCTTAATCTGGTTTCAGGCATTTCAATTATGCAAAAACCATCAATCCCTTGATATACAGGTGCAACAGCATTGCCAAGTAAGTGATTACTTAATTAAAAAGAAAAATGATTTTGTCGGTGAATATACTAACATTAGAATGTTAATGTACAATTTATGGTGTCTTAAAAGTGCAAACAACTTAATATACTATCACACCGTACAACTCTTGATCACCCCAAGACACAAAAAAAGTGTAGAGGGACTAATTCACAATACTTTCCAGACTATACCTGCATCACTTTCCCTCTCATGAATGCCATATTACTCATAACTTTGTGTTGTTTATTTCTCATCAAAATCTCCTTTACAACATATATCCAAATTGTATGCTTTGCTGCAGAATTCAGAGATATCCATTTGGACAAGAAGCCCTGGTACTGATATGTTTGAATTCTGCATTTCTGTCTTGCCCAAAATATCATCCAATAAGGGGTCTTGCCATTTTGGTAAAGCAGCGTCGTAAACTTCCTCTGATCTAACCGATGTAATGAGCAAGGGACCTTCAATCATATGAGGCTGTGAGCTTGACACCTTCCTCTCTTCTCTTAGAACCGTAGCTGGTGGATGGGGTATTTGACCAACTTGTGCATTTCTATTGTTAAGGGAATAATAGAGTCCCTTGATGAATAGCTTCAGAGAGTTCTTTCTAGCTCCTAAAGGGACGCAAATGGTGGATCTGGCTCCTTCAAAAACTGCTAAAATCTTCACAAAATCCCCATAATAATTTGAGCTCCAATTGATAGAAACCGAATTTGTCCCTTCGAATCTAGTACAAGCCCACTCAGTTGAGATGAAAATATAACTCTCCAGGGATTCAATTAACCATAAGGCCAAAGTGGTTGAAATTGAGATGGTGCGAATATAACCATTCTTGAGCTCAGAGATGTTGAGGGAGCCTGAGAGATGAAAGTCATACCATTTACTTTCAATAATGATGGAGTGCTTGCCATGAGGTTTGGAGAATGGACCTGCGTAAGGGAGGAGTTGATTCACGCCTTTGTCTTTCTGCTTGAAAAAACCGGGGTGAACGCTATCTAAAATTCCGCGAATGAAAGGACGCCTCCTCATCACCTAAGAATCGCCGTTGACGCCAGCCTCTGAATTGGAGGAAATCCCTTCTTTGATTTCCGGTTCTGAATTTCTCGCGTTGGTGACGGAGAGCAGCATTGTGTGCAGGAGACGAGTAATTGACGTGATAAGTCCAGTTCCTATTGATAGCTTGGGAGTTATCATCGCTAGAGAAGAATCTATACCCTCGGTGAAATTGGCGATGATTGCGATGATGAAATCCGATACCCTGAGATCGACCTTTCTCCCTCTCCCTACCGACCTGCACCTCTCGACATGTATCTTTATATATATATATAAGACTAAGACTTTGTATAACGTAGATCCTTTTGTCCCAATGTCTTAAATTAGTGCAAGGGATATAAAATAGCCAACTTGTAGCCATTAAGTTATTTACTGATTAACCAGCCTGACCAATGAGAACAAATGTCTAAACTCATCTCAGCAAGGCCATGCATTTCCTCAGTCATGCTTATCAATGGGCCCTTACAAAACATTATTCTGCTAAAGTAGCAGTGACAAAGTCTTTGTACGTAATCTACATCTTCGAATACACGCAACGGCATGGCCAAAACAAAGCCTGTGTACCATCCTTGTTTAATACGGCTTAGGAAAATGAATCAAAGCATACGGGTTCACGCATTCGAAGAACGTAATACTTCAAGTCTAAGGATCGTTATACCAATAGTCGCATTAAGGACACTTAGAACATATGCAATATCGGCATCCTATTATTAACGATAATATCTGCCCGAGAGTAGAAGCAAACACTCTGTCATTGACCAAGAGACTAGGTCAAATATCTAACTCTCATTAGTCTCACACGCACTAATAATATCCCACTCTTGTTAATGCTTCGACTATAGACCGTTTAGAATTATACTAAGTGACAAGATGTCAGTCTAAACATCAGAAGAGTCATTCTGATAAACATCTCATGATATAATTCTAGGAATGCAATTAAGTGTTTACATTAGCATGAGATGTTTGTAAACTTATTACATCTGCCTTTACATGATAGAAAATATCTAAGATATTACAACAACAGTTGGCCATAAGGGCACCAGCTCCAACAAAAACGATTCAACCTCATCATCAAAAACTTGACTAAGCGTAATAAACTTTACCCCAAGAGTGATATAAACACTAAAATCATTTTCTCATTACCTAGAGAGTTGCATAGTTTAGCTATAAACTTGCTACCCAAATGTGCAGATGTTGAAACTTTCACCATTTGGAGTAGCCTATATTCCCTTGAGCTTCTCTCACGCCATTAGTGGGCAAGCATCACTGTAACATCCACCAGGCCTGAAAGACATCTTCCAAGGTAAACGCTTCAGCCAACAACGCTTAAGTATTAAATCCTCTTCTGCACCTGGTTTGATCATTTTCTTCATTGAAGTTAACATGAAGGCTCTGTCAATAGTAGGGGTCCATAAAAACACGTTCGCATGCATAGGATCGAATGAAAAGGAGTTGAGCCGTAGATGGTGGACCAAGTCAGCGGGAAAATAATCTTCCACCGTAAAGAAATATGTCATATAGACCTCGGCACCCTCATCTCGCTAATGGCCACTGTAGGCATCAAGCTGGCGGCCCAAAATACCAGTCCAAACCAATTATCCCACAAAAAATAGATGTGCCAATAAGGACACGCAAGAGAATCAAAGGCTGCACGATGTCATGCACGTCTAACGTTCGTTTCTAAGTGTGAGAGTCAGCCTCAACACAATATTTAACTTGCATAAAAAACCCACATAGTACTCTTCGTTTGAAAATTCCACAACTTCTCTAAACAATCATGAGATAGAGTAGTGAAATCCAAAAAGCCCACACTGCCCTCGCCACACGGCAAGGCCAAAGTCTTCCAAGAACACCAACGATAGTGGCGAGTTTCCCCCAAGCCAGACCAAAAGAAGCAAGTCAGAATGGACTCCATCTCCTTGATCACAGTCTTTAGAGGGAGATTTGAACCCAATAATTGAGTAGGGATGGCTTGAAGAATGTTCTAGATCATGATCGGCTTCCCACTCGGTGAAAGATAGTAACCCTGCCATGCACAACATTTTGCATGCAAGTTCAACGAGATTGGCTCAAAATACTGAATTCGCTTCCTGCCATGATAGCTATATAGGGAAACCAAGATAAGTTAAAGGAAGAACGTCCATGACACACCCAGTAACAACGCCAACCTGCTCCAAAACATCAGCAAGCATGTGAGGGTGCACGTAGGCCATTTGATCAAAATGTTGGATTGTTCTATTCCACATCCAATTGTAAAATTTAAACATTTCAACAGTTCAAACTTTATTTCATCATCATAATTATAAATTGTTAAGGAGTTTATCAAATTTCGGAAGCTTAATAAATAGTTTTACATCACAATCATTAATTCATTTTTTAGATAATTATTGAACAATTCAAAACCATAACACATCCATCTGACATCTCGTGTCCCCATCTGCCACCAGGATCAATCACATCATTCTTTATTTCATTTATCTACATGTAGAAAGTAAAACATATTATACGCTCAATGTTGAAGCTGAGTAAGGATATCTAATGCATCAAACATCAACATAAATTGAATCTTAATTCATAATTAAATCTGTTGGACATGAGTTCAAACCCCTTTAGATATTTTTTCTTGAAATTAATTTTCCAAGTTTTGATAAATGACAAAAGAACGAAGAACGAAAATTTATTTTCGATTCCAGAAAGCAAAAGAGGGACATCAAGAAATTTACGACGACTACATTTCATTATCCCTACCCAAGATTTTGAAGTGAAGAAAAGAGTTCCGAAGACTTTTTATTTCTTTGAATCTAGGAAATTTGTAAGGATGACAAAATATCTTTTTACTCAAAAACTATTTTGTTGAGGGATATACATAAAAAATTATATTTATTTTTGGAATCAGTTGAAAAAATCTTTTAACAGTCTAAAAATAAGATTATTGAGTCAGTTACAAAATATGTGTCAAACAATTTTAAAATAATCATTTTAATACTAGAAAATATTTTTGGTAAGCAAAAATATTTTACCCCAAATTTTTTTGTATATTGTTTGACATAAAATATTTTTGGGACTCAATTTCTATACCCCAAATCACAAATCATCCCATTTATTCAAAAAAAAAATATTTTTGAATAATAATAGGATGTGATTGGGAGTCTTTGTCTCAAGAATCCTGTTGGAAACAACAAGATGGAGACAAACTTGACTCACCATCTCGCCATTGATTGATTCTTGTTGTCACTGCAAAATTCGCAGTACTAATCGATTTTCCATTTGTGCAAAAATCGATTTTTGTTCTTTTGCAATTTGGGTTCTCTCGACCAGTATTTTAATCGATTTGTTCACCTTGCTGCCACTAATCCATTAATCTGTTCTTAATTTAATCGATTAGCTACCTGTCGCGTAGAAGAATTTTTACTCAACAGCATCTAATCGGTTTCATCATTTCTTCAAAAATCGATTTTTTCTCCGTTGCATCTCATACTTGAGTACTATATATATATATATATATATATATATATATATATATATATATATATATATATATATATATATATATATATATATATATATATATATATATATATATATTGAAAAAACAAGTTTTTATTAAAGTGAAAGTAAGGCATACAAGAGGGAGCAAACGCTCCAAAAAGGAAATGGGTGAGTCTACCCAAAAGTGGTAGAGCAATGAAAGACAAATGATACAAGGTAACAAGGGACGCAGCCCAAAATTAAATCCACACGTTCACCATGGTATGAGGTGAGATTTTGGTAGGTATTGCTGTTCGTGGCCTTTTTCCATCTTCCCTCGGTGATCCTGGATGGCCTAGGAAGAGAAATGGCTCGTTGTATCCCTCGCATTCTAGTTTTGGTTCTCCCACACAGTCGACAATGAAGCCTTCAATTATGGGTGGTCTTGATCTTCTTGTTGTCATTCTTGACATTTCATGGTGAGCTTCCTCTTTTGTAGGTGTGCTTTTGAGCGGGGTGGAGTTAGGGGTGCCCTGTTCAGAAATCTCAGTAATCATAGGGTCAGTTAACAATACAAAACGGTTTTGAGTGGGAATGTTTGGGTCAGAAATAATTTCATCATCCCCACAAACTGAATTGTCATGTGAGCCATCCAGTACATCCTTTCGGAGTGTACTGTGTGCATCAGAAGCATCAGGGACATTTGAATCTGCAATTAAGGGGACATGTGTGTGGACAACTTCAGGTAAAGGGACGAAGGGGGGGCTGTGGAGTACAGTGCTTTCCTCAAAAATAGTTAGGGGTGGCGCGGGATCAGTTGGACTTACAACATCTTTTCCCAGGAAACTTTCAGCAACCACAGGACCAGACAGTAGGGGATCAGTTGGAATTGCAACATCCTTTCCCAATAGATTTTCAGCAACAGTAGGAACAGGTAGTGAAGCATCCTTGGTGCATTGAATTTTTCCAATTAGGATGGTAGGATCCTTAGCCTGCTCATTTTCATCACTGCAGGTTTGTACAAGAGGCAAAGGACCTTCAAGTAAAGCATCAGTAGAGGAGTCGTAGTTGAAGAGTTAGGAATAGCAAAAGTAGCATCAGCAAAACTCGGAGCAGCAGAAATATCAACAGCATGATTAGGAGCATTATGGGCAATAACAGAATTAGCACCCAATCCGCCAGATTCAGGAACCAAAACTTTTACAGAATCATTCAAGCTTCTGCTAGATAGCTTACCCTCCCTCCTAAACCATCTAGAAGATTTCCTAGGAGTTTTGCACTTTTTATGGCCTATAGCCCGGCAAGAAATACAATACTCAGGCAAATCTTCGTATGTAATAGGCTGGAGGAAGGATAATTTACCAAGGTGAATCCAAACTGCTTTAGGCATATCTTTAGTCAGGTCCAATTCGACACACACCCTTGCCACGGAGGGTCTTGTAAGGTTCACTGTGGCAGAATCCATTTGGAGGGGGAGACCCACCAGGTTAGCTATAGAAAAAAGGGCATTGGGTTCAAAAAGGTGAAGAGGGAGACCCTCTAGACCTATCCAGACAGGAGCAAGAGGTGAATCGATAGAAGGGTCGAAATCACAGGTCCATCGACACACATTCATTTTGTAACCAGAGATGCGCCAGGTCCTCCGGAGAAGACATCGGAGAAAGTCCTCCTCCGAGAAGGTAATGAGTATATGAGAAGAGTCAAGGAGAGATACCTTAGGAGTGGAAGAAAAACCAATTCGTTCAAAAGATGTCCTAACCAAGGTCATCGATGGCCATCCAGAGCAAAAGGAACCAACTAGGGTTCTTTTTAACTGTTGACATAGATTGCGCACCTCGGTTTCGTTGAAGGAAACGCATGGGAGTCCTTTGAATCTCGACGGGTTCTTGACACCAGAGACCAACGAATCAGAAAAATAGCGTGAAGCCATTGGAGGGACGATCGCTGGAGTAGATTGGAGCAGTTTCGGTAGTCGCCGATGCCATGGCGTCACCGCCGAGATGGAACCCTAGAGTGATGGATGCGGCGCATTTTTTATATTCATATATATATATATATATATATATATATATATATATATATATATATATATATATATATATATATATATATATATATATATATATATATATATATATATATATATATATATATATATATATATATATATATATACCCGAAAATAACCACCAAAATCAGTGGGGTAAGGTCCAGGCCACCCTTACCAATTTATTAGAGAACACAATTAATACACGTCCGGGGAGGACTAGACCGAAGCCCCGAAAGTAAAACAAAAAAGAAAGTCAAAAGACAACCAAGAAGGTCAACCTCAGAGTCTGACCGACAAACACCATCAATTACATCTCACGTAGATCACCTTCTCCCCCTTCTCTACGAGACTAGCTGCCATCTAAATCTGTAACCCAACCGATTGCAGAAGTGGAATCCTTCCGCCTTGAATCTCCTTCCCAGACAGAAAGAACAGGTTAAAGCCCAGGTTAGTGAGATTGTTATCCAAGATCATCCATTTTTTCCTCCTCTTCTTCCAACTCCAGTCTCTTAGTGTTTCTAGGATACCCCGCTTGACCTTTGAAATGTTAGGCGAGTCTGATTCATAGATTATTCTATTGTATTCTTTCCAAATATGCCATACAATAATCCCTCTTCCTTACAAATGAGAAGCATTGGTTTGTGATCAGAAGATGTCTTACTGAGGTGGGTGATACTGATATCTCTGAAAAAAGAATTAGCATTGGAATTGATGAGGACCCTGTCAAGTCTCCTCCAAAGCTTACCCTTACTTCTAACTCCAGTCCAAGTGAAAATCCCTCCAGAAAAGGGTGGTGAGTGTAGCCCGCAAGCATCAATACAGTTCCTAAAGTCATTCATATCAGTAAAGTCTGGATTAGTGTTACCTTTATGTTCATCCATGCTAAGAATTGTGTTGAAATCACCCCCAACAATCCAAGGGTGATTACAAGTGTGTGCCTTGAAAATTTCCTCCCAAAGTATCCTTCTTCTGGTTGTGTTGTGACCCCCATAAACAGCAGTGATTGTTATGTTGGTGTTGAGTTTGATATTCCAAAAGTCAAAATTGATACACTGGCTTGCTTCACTGTATCCTTGTATTTTTAAGTCACTATCTCTCCAAAAAATCCACATTTTATTGTTGAGCCCACCATTGGAAAGAGGGAAACCTAGGTTGATTCTGTACCAATCCCTTTTATCATCTGAGACAATAGGCTCAATAACACAGAGGAAATCAATAGAGTTAGAAGTGGTTAAAGTTTTTAGCCTATTAAGGGAAGAGGCTGCTCCACGAACATTCCAAAATAGGCAATTCATAAAAACTTTTTAAGAGGTCCTTCTAACATTCTTGTTTGACTCCTAGTCATAATTGTCCTTGCATAAGAGTTTTTATCCTTGAATGTAGCTTTAGGGATAGCAAGAACTGGGGAATTTTCCTTTGGAATAGGAATCTCAAAAGGTTCGAGTGCATGGTTGACCCAAATAACTGGATCCCTTTCCCCTTCTGAGTGATATCCTGCTTCAGGGAGGTCTTCATCCTCACATTCTCTATCTGATCCCAAATCCTCTATATCAATTAACTGAATCTGATTCATATTGGAGTCATCCTTGGATCCCTTAGGGAAAAAATTTGGTTGGAGAGATAGATTATTGGAATTTTGGCAATCCTTGTGCTTGGTGTTGTAATTCTGATTGTCTTCTTCTGGTTGCAGGAATAATTTGGAAGCAAA